GACTCTGAAATGGTCGTAATCAAAGTTCGTATTATCAGTAGAACAAAAAGTTGTTTCTGAGTGGGAAGTTTCAAATCTAACTTGTCAGTCCTTACCAGAACATACCAGGATATAAAAAAGATACAAAAGCTCAAGAAATGGCTACAATATAATTAGTGAAGCCGCACAATTGTTTAATTCGAACATTTGCACTTGGCTTTTCAAGTTCGCGCACTATTAAACATTCCATTGTTGTTCGATGCATTATCTGATAGATAACGATTTTTATTCCAACCTTTAAGGCCCAAAATTTTCATATAAATTATAAGACGAATGTAGGACTTGCCTCGTAAACACATTTATTATTTATATGCAAGAATTTTATTGCAGGAAGACTCCCAATTAATATACAAAATATATAGCATCTTTGGGACTTTATGAGCTACATTGAAAGAATACAAAGGATGCCATGAAAGCTGCCTTATGGCACGCTTCTATTATGAAAGGTGATCCTTAATAAGGTATACTTGTTTCTGAATTACGCAGTAAACAAAAGGCAAAACCCACTTATAATAGGCATACAACTCGATAATTTAAATTAATTGTAGTGAATTAGGGCTTACTTTCGAAGCAGAAGAAATAACGGGAATAAAAGAAATAAAAATAAAAATTATAATATTATAAAATATGTCATTGTAATGATACGTCATATTATTCGGTGCTCTTCAATGATAAAACATTTTGTATATAAAGTACAACTGGTGAAGTGTACTCGATTCATAGCAAATAGTTCACGCATTTTAATAGCAGTCCTTGTGGAAAATTTCGTCCAAGGAAGTACTGCCACCTTACAAATTTCTGCCGCCAAGCAGTAATACGTTTCGGTTTTGAAAGTAAGGGTGCTGGTGAAAGTACAGGCACATGGGGTTCAAGTTATATCTCAGAGTGACGGGCGCAGTGGCCAATGGGCGCAGTGGTGGCAGAGTTCGAAAATCTTCAATTGATTTAATGATACCAAGTAACCGGACGACTAAGTCATGCACACGCCTATCCATAATAGTTCCACTGCCACTGCGCCTGTCACCCGGAGACATAAGTCGATAAGACCCATGTATCTATAATGTCATCAGCACCCTTGCCCTTCAAAACAGCAACGCAGTAATGCTCGCACATTATTGCTTGGCGGCAGAAATAAATAAGGTGTCAATACTTCCATGGACGAACTCTTTCACGAGGAGCTCCACTGCTACTAAAATGTACAAGATAGCCTACCCCATTATTAAGTTCCGTCAAAACCACGTCATATACTTATTAGGTACCCAATTATTCGAACATCACAGGCACGAGCGATACTCGAATATTATTATGTAACGAACTCGTCATAATATTATGTGAACAAAAGACGTTTTGAAGCTTTCTTGTTAACGCGCACGCGAAAGATAAAATACTTAACGCGTTAATTTGAGTTGAAACGATGGAATTACGAAAAATCATTCGGCTATTTTGCAGTCAATATGTTTATGAAAAAGACTTTTTAGTAGAAGGGAGAATCATAAAGTAGCAATCTTAAAATTTGTAAAAAGTACCTTAATTAAAAAAAAATGTTAGAAGTAAACGATAGAAAAAGGTACCTTGGTCGGTCAATGGATAAAAGTATACTAAAAACATTTTGTCGAGGTAAATTATTAATGATTAAACATCAACCTGTTTTAACCTAAGTAATATATAATCGGGAATAGGGCAAAAAACCTAAAAGGAAATCATATATAATTTGTTTCATACTAAGAAAGAAAAAAAATCAAATTTCTTCCTTCAACTTTTACAGTTAACGGCATAGAATTTGACGGCCGCACTCTCTGGGGCGTATACTTGACTGTCCAATAAACTGGCAACGTTGGCACAACGGGAACCTTTGGATGGCCAAGCTTATTCAATGGCAAGGGTTGCAGCCGGCCAACAAAAACAACACATAGTAGCGGACTGCCTAATTTTTATGGAGGTAACATTAATTTAGGAAATTCTGTGAAAAAAAGTTAGTATGTAACTTGCTGCTGGCTGTTACATGAAATTATTTTCAATTTCAGTCAAAAAGATTCCCAAGATATTGGAGAAAAAAATTAACACACAGCTAATGTAACTTGTGTAAAAAAAATGTACAGACAGTAGCACATCAAACTACAATTGACGGATTTTGTTTTGTCGCACTGAAGATGGAGGCGATATTCGAACTAAAATATACTGCTTGACGTGCTGTTAACTGTGCTTCAAATCGGAGCGTAGGGTTGTCACATTATTATTTTAACTGTACTTAAAAGTTGTAAAAATATTTTGAAAACAAATAAGGTATTCATCACAGTGCTTTCGAGCTATATTGAAATAATCTTTGGCAAATGCAATACTTAGCGCGTTTGCGCATTCATCCGTTTCGTACTCGTTGCTTATCCGAGACCCATACAAATCTAAAAAACTCGGACCCACTACTGATGTCGCTTGTTCACCTAGAGATAATCCCTGTGACATTTCGGACCGTCATGTCACGGATTCGGAACTGTTCCTGGGGCCTTAGCGTGAACTCTTATTACGATTCAGTTTAGGACCTACAATGAATCGTTGTGAGACAGCGCTACATGACATGTATATCACCATCCCGCTTTTTTGTCGTTACGAACCTATACTGAACTGTAATTAGAGTCCATGGAAAGGCCCTAGTACTCTCATTCTCCGTCCGAAACAATTACTGTCAAATAAGTAATACTCGACCAAAATAGGCGCTTTGTCGTCGAGTTGCGGATACCAACCCGTTGCACCAAGTACCAAGTAAGTACTCGACCAAATTAAAAAAGACTCATGATGACCATGAAGCATTCACGTCGAACGGAGAACGAGAGTACACCCCCAGATACGAATCGGACGTACTTAGTGCGTTAACGCTCTTACATGTTGATGTTGAAGAAAAATATAATTATTATGAAGATAGTTTGACCTACCGCTTCTCAAGCAGAGGTCGTTTCTCGGAATTCATGTACGAAATTTAATTTGAAGTTTACCATGAGCTTTTTGGTGAAGGAAACATCGTGATGAAAACCGCACGTCGAAGAAGGTTCACAACCTTTGGAAAATGTGTGAAGTCATTACCTGCATTAGATCAGCGTGGCGGACTATGGCCTAAATGCCTGAGAGGAGACCCGTGAGACGTATATATGGGTTGATGGTAGTATGGTGTGATATTATGAAAGAAAAACATAATAATAATATATAAAAAGTGCCGTACAACCACAGTGTCGGTTGTGAAGTTCATAAAGTATATTATTTTACTCAATTATTATTGTATGTTTTAAATAAATAAATACATTTAAGTACGAACAATAATACCTCTACAACCACAGGGTATAAGTTTCGCACCTTCTTAATAAATAAAAAAATACGTGAAAGAGGCACGTTTCTTTGTGATTTAACTGAATTAACCACGTATAAGGACTTTAACGGTCTTGTAATGGTAAAAACTCGCGAAACCACGAATAACGGTTTTCGAGAATTACAAAATTATGATGACCTTTTGACGCCACGAGTGTTTGGAACTCTTTTCATGCAAAAGATGTTGAAATTGTTCCTGGCACTTATACAATAGCTTTAGAAGGATACGCCGAAAAGTTAAACACCCTCTTTTACACTTTGTAAAAGTTTTTACACATTTTTTTCCTTTATTAATAAAAAAGTAAATTAAACCAAATTGGTTTCCAAACAAAAATTTCTCTATAGAATAAAACTGGTGCAGTCAAAAGCTCGTCAAGCTGGAACTTGGACTTTGTACCTTTATCGCATGTATTATTATCGCAAGCCCCATAACTACCTAGCTGGACGTACTCTTCCCCTTGTATAATACAGTTAAAAATATTGGTTTCGATTTCATAAAAAATTCAAGAAAATGTAGTAGATAAATGTTATGTTATTAACCGACTTCAAAAAAGGACTACTCAATTCGACCATTTGTTTGTGTGTATGTTACGCGATTATCCTTACATTTGTGAACCGATTTCGACGATTCTTTTTTGTTGGAAAGGAGGCACAGGGTCAAGAGCACGTGAAGCTTGACACTTAAGACTTAAATTCCACTCTGTGCCGCTTTCGATAAAAACGGTCCAAAGTACAAAGTGTCAAGCTTGATGTGCTCGGGACTGTACCTCAGTAGTAGTCCCATACAATTATGAAGAAACTATACCACCTCCAAGGGTGAATCCGCTTTATTGGATTTCTCTCACTTTCATCGATTTCAATAAAACATGGCAAATAAACACATCTAAAGTGGATCACCAAACTTTTGAGATCGGTTTCTTGTACAGTTGAAATTATTTTACTTAAACCAATTATTATAAAGTTAACCTACCACAAATCCTCAAATTTAAATTCGTACACGTAAATAGGGGTCTATTTATCGCTACGTACTATACTGTCGAATGTTAAATTAGTTGAAACGCATGCGACTCATGACAACTTTATCCCCACTTCGAATAAAATATGTAACAAAAGGGTTGTCGGCCATTACGTATAGAAACAATTTGATTGGTCACGTATATGCTTGAATATTTTAACAAAGAAGGATAATGTGTTTGGCGGTAGGGGTTTTGATTATTCACGTAACTAAATTGAACACTTGAAGAAGTCGTAACAACATTGTATTTGATTGTTTTCTTGTTGAATCAAACATTGTGTAGGTAAATGTTTAGTCTACGTTGCATAGGTACTGGTTCATTATCCTTTTTAGGGACGCATCACATTTATTCACACGGAATCGCCTTGAGTCGGTCAGAAAAACCTTTATGTCCAAGCAATAAGAGCGAAAAAAACGTCGCGCGATTGCATTTCGCACAAACGCGAAACGTCATTTTTGCTCTAATTACATAAACATAAAGTGACTCCCTTGACAGAGAAAATATTTAATGTTTTGGTTGAAAATATTTTTTAGTACAAAAGTACGTGACACACTTTGAAAATAAACATAACCTAAATATTGCCGAACTTACCTGACGGACCTGCTTGTACTGTTCTTCGAAGCTCCATCCAGCGGCGCTACCTTCCGATGACGAGGACGATGCAGACCCAGCTGGCTGCGCAGGTGGCGGCGGCGCGGGGGCGAGGAATGCGGGAGGGGCATAAGGAAAGCCTCCCGCGGCCCCCGCGCTTGCAAGGGCAAACACGCTGTTCGGTGTAGACAGTGGCGCTCCTTGGGCCAGTGAAGCTAGTGACGAGAGGTGAGGATGCAGCGAGGTTTTAAGAGACTCGAAGTCGTCTCGTACCTGAGAAAAAAAAATGCAGAATGAAGAGAGATATCGCATTAAAAAATACGGATAAAATTTTTATTACAGAGACTCTGTTTCATTTTCCCGAAAAAGTGCTGTTTACTTCGGTAATCCCGTAATCGTATAATACGTATAATCAAGAGATTAGAATACAACTTTAACAAATCTGATTAAAATATGTATTTTACCCTATAAAATCTCCTTCAGTAGTAGTAGTATCTAAAGTTTCCATATAAGTCTTATTTCTCTTTGAGGAATTGACGTGCTACTAAAAGGCTAAAAAAACTAAATTACATAACTTTTACAACTTATATTTCTGACTTACTTTCAAAACCTCATGCGGTCTAGGTGAATTCCTCTGATGTTGGTGATTAATATGATTATTTATCTGCTGATGATTGACGTGGTGCGTATTGAGCTGATGCGGCTGGTGGGGCTGGTGGGGCTGGTGTGGGGGCAGAGGCTGATGCGCTGGCGCATCTCGACCGACTCCCTCGTCTGAGCTCTCGCACGATTGTTCTCCTGAAGACTCGCCTTCGGACCGGGCGGACTGTGAAACACAGAGATGGTTAGGAGGAACATATAAAGAGGATATAAATCATTCAATTCGTAAAGTCTAAAACCAAAAATGGTAGTCAATTGACTAGTGCAGTGATGGGAAAACGTCTGCCTACAGACCAAATCCGGTCTACGGCGTGATTTAATCCGGTCGCTGATCGATAACAGCCATTTATATACGGCACAGATAAACAAATTTGGCACATATTCATTATTTAGCGAAGTATTGTGCATCCTATATAATGTGACAAGCTTTACCGCTGGTTATGTAATTCGAGAAACATGTCGAAATATCGAGATCTTACTCGAACGCTCAAAAACAATAAAACAAAATTTCAATAAAAAGAAAATCTGTTTGACTCGCTTAAACATTTTAATTATTTTATATGGCCCTTCTTTAAATCCATTTTCCCGTCTCTGACATGATGTAATTCAACCCAAAGACTCCAATAGAACAATGCCCAATTTGGACTCGCAAGTTTTTAGTTGCGACCGGTTGAAAATTTATATCCATCTAAATATATGTTATAAAATATTATAAGTTTCGTTCATAAAATTTTGAAATAAGTTTGAGAAAAAACGATATGAATTTTTAAAAATACGTAAAAACATATGGAAAGTTTTGTAAATATTTATTTTTGAACGTAACACAACTTACATTTTGACATTTTATTTTAAGCCTCGTTTACACTTGAAATGATATCTTCAACGACTAACTTCAACTTGAGATAATTATGAACGAAAGTTACAATAATTGTATCATAATCCTCCTTAATTTGAACTTGACCCTCAACTTCAAAGTTGTCAGAAAACTCGAGACGTAATTGTCGCAACGTTGGAGAAATCATGATAGAGTAAACGAGATTTCAAATTAAACGTTGAAATCTGAGTTGTGCTACGTTCCAAAATAAATGCTAACAATGCATTTTTTAAAGTATTTTCAAAAATCGTATATTTAAAAAAAAAATAGTTACTACTAAAAATACTATACCATTTTTATTTACTTCGCTTGCCGCAGTGAAAAAAATTATTAACATAACTTTAAAAAGCTAGTGTTGCTTAAATCAACTTTCCCTAGTTAAATAAAAATAAATCCTGTATAATTGTTTTCTTTCTGTTTTTAAATTGCCAAATTTAAGCAAAAGATGTGGATGTGAACAGTAAAGAACGAATGTTGGTAACATAACGTACAATTTCTTGAACATAAAATCCTGATATCAATGCCATTATCTTCAACCAATGATAACATATCGTATTAAAATAAAGCCATGAAAATAAAGGCATTTAAAATAGTTAGTTTATTACAAATGCCGATTCCCGTCACGAGTGTCCCGTATAGTGTAAAATGACACTCAATTAATTTTTCAAAAGATTGGCAATTAGATTGTTTGCTACCATAGGGAACAAACACCATAATTGTTGTTATGTGGCGTCGCTACCTGTAAAATATGTCTTTTCAAGAATGCAGCGCAAACAGAAGCTTAGAGTACTTATAGCAGCAATGCAAACGCGATGCAGTCGCTAATCGTCTACCTTTACACATGCGCGCGATTTTAAGCAGCGATGCAAGCGTGCGATTCTCTAGGGATTTATAGGCGATTGTATCGATGCGTTCGCGCGTTTGCATCGATGCAATCGCCGGTAAATCGAAACACCATACCACATATTGTGACGTTCCTTCTCTAAAATAGCATCAAGAGTTTGCCATTTTTTTATAAGGATCCCTAAGGAAAGAAAGGAAGGCAGGTGTACAGTCAGCCACTGTAACCAGCAATTAAAGATAAATGTCGCGAGGCGTTGGATCCTCGGAATAATGCTAAACTAGTCGTGGAACGTACAATTTTAACTCAGTCAGAGGTTGCTATAGCCCTGCAAATTTTCCCAAGAAGAACTACAGTCCATTGTTTTTTGTTATTGTCAGAGTTTGGATAGGCTCTGACATATTATAAAACTTACAAGTTCCCCCACAAACACTGTATAATACGTTATCTGTTGTTATAAATTGTCAATTAAAACAAACTCACAATTGATAAGTTATACCGTAATTCTTATTGAAATAGTACGATAATAATAACTTAATGACAGCCGTAGCTGCCTAATGGTTTGGCCTACCTCTCAAGCAAAGGCCGTGGGTACGAATCCGGGCTCGAAGATTCTCAGAACTTATGTGCAAAATTAATTTGAAATTAACCACGAGCTTTTCGATGAAGGAAAACATCGTGATGAAACCTGTACGTCGTGGAAGGGTAGGCTGTGACCTTTGGAAAACGTGTGAACATGCCAAGTCCCCAACTCGCATTGGGTCAGAGTGACGGAGTATGGCCTAAAGCCTCGCCTGAGAGGAAATCCGTGCCCAGTAGCTGGACGTAAAAATGGGTTGATGATGAAGTAAATAAACATTAAAAGCTTAAATATTTGGACTAGAGACAGACAATATGGATTAAGTTGGGTACCCACGGCTGACTGTTCAAAGTACTGACAGCATTCTTCCTTAGTATGATCTCCATTTACATGCTAACAAGTTGGGCGAGAGATCAGCCAGCTTTTGGGTCTTCAAGTTAGTCCAAACATTTGTTAGTATTATAAAGAGAATAGGCTCTGGAACTCCACGTACTTTGGGTATAACCGCTCAAAGGTAATAATATATTGGTGTTGTGTGTTACAATCGGTGCAAGTGGAAGCATGTAATCTCTGCTACCCCGATGGCAAAAGGGCGTGAAGTATATATATATATGCATATAGATAGCATAAAACCGTTCGAAAAACTTTAACTAACATTAATATAAGAATGTTCAAATGTAACAGCAAAAAATATTTAGGAAATGAATATATTTTATCATATCTAAATCTCGTATATTTATTTGCTTTTTCGGGCCCTTTACAGGTCATATGGTCTCATTTCGTATGTGTAACAATCGCGAAATACCTAATAAAGAATATTAAGGCAAATCAGTCAGTAATAACACAATGTACATTGTAATCATCCATAACTGCTTGAATTCCTAGAAGTACGTATACCTACTCTAATTTAATACGAAAATTAATCGTAAGTTTACAATATTGTTTGCTAATTCGACTGCGAATTGAATAAACATTTACATAATAATATCCTTCGCGGTTTTCGACAGTTATTGGCATGTTATACCCTGAGGATTTAGCATTAAAAGTTGTATTATTTCTATAAGTAATGATATCGGGTGACAGATGGTGACTGCACCACAATTTTTGCTTCAAGGCGTTATTTTGTGCAAAAATTTCAGGTTAAATTCTTCACAATTTTTTTTATATACACTTTAAACAAGTATTTATAATAAAAAGTTAATTACACAATCAATTACCGCAATTTATTTCACGGCCGAAGTTTTTGCAAACACCCAACAATAACGTTTCTTAATGGTTTTGTACCATTAAACAGAAATATTATAAGGTTACTTTCGATTATAAAGAGGTTCTAGTTAAGTGCCAAATAAAAAGTAATAAATACATTTAAAATGTATTGTAAACTGCAAACATTGACGTATGCACAATAGGTCATTACACTTTGGTAATAAGACTGGAAAACCAGTTACAATATTATAGCTATTAAAGTACTTAAAGCACCATCGGAATCAATACGAAAAATAAGTCGGCAGGCAATCAAATCGGTGGAAGGGAAAAGTATAAATGAGCGTATTTTGCAGGAGCAGCCCTTGGGCCTCAGGGGCCACAATTACGACATTAAAATTATTATTTTATTTCCATTTTTATTTATTATTCGCATTATTATATTGTGTGGAGTTATTATGGGTGAAATGGTTCGTTCGGATAAACGTTCGAAGGCGACCGACACGCAACCCTTTGCGATCACATGCTTTGAGGGTTCTGTATGTTTCCTATATATATTTTAACGGAGTTTAAACACTATTTTTAATGTTCTGCGTTTTGAGAACTGTAAATTTAGTATAGATACCGGACTATATGTGTCACTTAAAATAATGTCCACTGTTTCAAATACGTCCTTATGATTTGAACTCGCATTCGACTAGCTTATAGCACTTTCCTACGAGAAGATCAGTGTTTAGCAGTGAGTGGTATATGTGTTGTTGTATAACTTCATATAAATCAAACAATCACTCATATTAACGTCGTTCTCACTTTTTTTTGGAAAGTTAATAAAGAGTTTAGTTATTTGCAAAAGAAACCCTGAAGCTAATAAGGACCTTCAAGTGCCACGTCATTTTATTCAGCTCTGCTTTCTCATGGTTCCACACAGCTACTGAATTCCGTTCGCCTTTTTATTACTTTTTAACTTGACCGCAATTTTGTTTAAACATTTTATTAATAAAATTAGTCGTTACCGTTTTTTCTTTTCAAAGTTTTTGGTTTTCATTTATAATACAAAATAGAGAGATTTCCACCAGTAGCCATATACGTGATAAGAGAAGTATTATACCAACTGCGACGCGGACTGGATATAGAATGATAACACCTGTCAACCGCGCGCGGTTGAATTTGTCTTGGGTTTTAAAAGCTTTACAGACTCCTTAATTTTTTTATATTTCTAGTGGTACTTCACTTTTATAATATTTTACTTCTTTAATTCACTTGTATACCCACTTAGTTCTGTACTAGTTAAATTATACAAAGTTATGTGTACTAATAAGGATATGTATAAGAACAATTCCTTTTATCGTAACCTTTTTCTACAAAACTCTATCTAGGCTGTTGGTATACCTTAAATTACCTATAAATAAATAAATAAGTAAAGACTTTTATGCATGTGTTTTAATGTTTACATTTTGGACTATTTTTATCATTTACCGTTAGAACGAGAATTTATAACTCAATTTTATTTGCGGAAATCACTTGAGAACACTTAGGCCCGACGCCCATTGGCGGGATGTCGTGGCAAGGGATTCTCCGACATTACTGCCTGCAAGCGCACATTGACAGCTACCATGTCACGGTATTCTTAGGCGTGACGGGACATACCATTGCGACAGTCCAGATATT